CTCCTCCCCAACCTCCTTCTTCAGCTTCTCTTCTCGCGCCCTCCCCGCCTCCACGTCCCTCGCCAGTCCCTCCTTCGCCCCAATCACCTCCGCCAGCCTGCCCTTCACCTCCCTCACCTGCGCCTCCTCTCCCTCCACCCGCTTCGCCAGCTCGCCAATTCTCTCCTCAAGCCCCTCCTTCTCCCTCTGCCGCGCCTGCCTCTCCGCCTCAAGCCCCTCCTCCGCCTGCTCGCGCCTCTCCTTCTCCATCGCGCCTCCCTCCTCCAGCGCCCTGCAGCTCGCCCTCAGACCCTCCAGCAGCCCCTCCAGCTGCGCTTGCTGCTTCTCCAGCGCCTCCCGCTGCTCCTGCTGCTCCTGCACCTGCTGCTGCGCTCTGCTCTTCTCTTCCTCTGCTGCCGCCAGCACTCTCTCTGTCGCCTCCAGCGCCGCCTCTCTCTCCTTGAGCGTCCCTCCCAGTGCAGCCAGCTCAGCCTTCAATTCACCCACGCGTTGCTCCACCTCACCTCTCCTCGCCTCTTCCTCCTCAACCATCCTCACCTTCTCTGCCACCTCCGCCTCTCGCTCCTTCACCTGCCCGGACAGTTCTTCCACCTGCCCGCTCAGCTGCTCCACCTGCCCTTGAAGCCCCTGCAGCCGCACCTCCAGCGCTGCTCTCTCTTCATCCACCCGCCTTCTTTCCTCTTCCACCTTCTCCTTCGCCTCCTGCAGCTCCCGCACTGCACCCTCAGCCCTCCTCTTGCCCTCCTCCTCCTCACCTCTCGCCCGCTCCACAGCATCCCTCTCCTCCTCCACTCTCCTCCTCTCCCTCTCAGCCACCTCCCTCGCATGCTCCACCCTCCCCTTCTCCTCACTCACTCGTCTCAGCGCCTCCTCCACCTCCTCCGCCCGCGCCCTCACCACCCGCACCTCCTGCTCTAGCGCCACCCTCTCCATCTCCACCGCCTCCCTCACTCGCCTCTCCTCCTCCTCCTCCCTCTCCCTCTCCTCCATCTCTCCCTCCCGGCACCTCAGAGCCTCCCTCGTGCTCGCCAGCTCCTCCCGAATCACCCCAATCTCGCCCTGCGCCCTCGCAGCCTCCGCCTCCGCCCTCTCCCTTGCCTGCACAGCCCCCCCCACCTCCTCAGCCACGCGTTTCTTGAGCTCCTCCGCCTCCACCAGCGCTTCCAGCAGCTCCTGCTCCTTCTGCTGCTCCGCCCGCTCCCTCGCCCGCACCTCCTCCTCCTTGCCTCGTAGCAGCGCCTCTTTCTCCTCCACCTCGCGCTGCACCTCCCTCAGCTGCCGCACCACCATGGTGTGCTCCACCTGCAGCTCCTCGAACTCCAGGATGCGCTGCCCCTCCTCCTCCAGCAGCTGCACCTCGCCCCGCCCCACCTGCTCTCGCGCTTCCTCCACCTCCTCCTTCAGCCGCCGCACCGTCTCCTCCGCGTCCTCCCGCATCGCCTGCGCCTCCGCGCCCAGCCGCGCCAGCTCGCCGTCCCGCTCCGCCAGCTGCGCCTTCACGGCGTCGATCACGTCCTCCCTCTCCTTCAGCAGCCCCCGCAGCAGCTCCGCCTCCCTCTCCAGCATCGCCAGGTCGCCCTGAGCGTCCTCCAGCTCGCCCGCGCGCCGGCTCGCCTCCCGCTCCATGGCATCCATCTGCCTCGCCTTCAGCTCCGACTCGTGGATCAGGTCCCACACCTCGCGCCCCTTCTCCCGCACCTCTGCTGTCAGCCGCTGCACCTCTCTCTCCTTGGCCGCGGCTGCCCTCTCCGCCACGGCCACGGCCTTGCTGCTGTCGTCCAGGGCGCCCCTCAGCGCACTGATTTCAGCGTCGCGCTGCTCTATCTCGCCCTCCAGCTCCGCAACCTTGCTGCGCCACATGCCCGCCTCCTCCCTCGCCTGCCTCACCCGCTCCTCACTCCCCTCATCCCCACCTTCCTTCGCCCCGCCTGCCCCCCCGTTCTCTCCTCCCACTCGCCCCGCATGGCCGTCCGCGCCCACAGCACTGCCAGCATCACTGCCCAGCAGCACCAGGCGGCTCACCTCCCGCCTCAGCGCCTCCTTCTCCGCCCTCTCCGCCTCCACCTGCGCCTCCGCGTGCCTCTGCGCCTCCTCCCCTTCGCGCAGCTGGGTCAGGCGGAACCGCAGCTCTCTCTCCTTGTCCGCCAGCCTGCCCCGCAGCTCCCCCTCCAGCGCGCGCCAGTCCTCCGCCCTCTGCGCCAGCTCGCCCTGCGCCTCCTTCACACGCGCAGACAGCTGCATGGCATCCGTGTGCAACTGAGTCAGCACGGCGCCGCTGTCCCCACCAGCCAGCGCGGCCAGCAGCGAGTGCTGGCGCTCCACCACGTGCGCCTTCTCCCGCTCCACCTCCACCAGCGACTCCTGCAGTGACGTCACCTCCTTGCTGCGCTCCCTCACCTCCGCCTCCAGCTCCCACACGCGCTTCTCCAGGCTCGCCCCGCCACCAGACCCATCCACCATGCTGCTGCCTGCCCCCGCGCCTGCCTGCAGCCCCTCGAGGAACTCGAGCTGCAGCTGCTGGTTCACGAGGTCCTCCTCCAGCCGCCTCTCCCGCCGCGCCCACTGCTGCCGCTCCTCCTCCCTCGCCCTCTCCGCCGCGTCCGCCCTCTCACGCTCCCACGCCGCCTGCTGCTGCGCCTGCTGCACCTCCACGCGCCGCTGCTCCACCTCCACCTTCAGCTCCACCAGCCACTTCGCCTCAGGTACGCCCTCCCCCGAATGCACCTCCCTCACGCGCGCCAGCGCCTGCTTGCTCGCCTCCGCCTGCATGACTGCCTCCTGCCGCGCCTGCCTCACCTTCTCCGCCTCCACGGCCAGCGCGCCGCGCAGCCGCTCCACCTGCTCCTGCAGCTCCGCCGCCTGCGCCTGCGCCAGCTGCTTGCCATCACTGGCGTCGCGCCACATCTGCATGGCGCCCTCCACCACCTCCTTCGCCTCCCGCTCCTCCGCGCTCACCCGCTCCACCTCCTCCTCCAGGCTGCCCACTCGCGCCTCCAGCTCCTCCTTCCGTTTCGCCACCTGCTGGTAACCAGATCGCAGGGAGTCCATCTGTCGCCGCAGCGCCCTGAGCTCCTTGTCCGCCTCGGCGAGCTTGCCTTCCGCCTCCTCCCGCCGGCTCACCGCCTCCTCGCGCTTGCCGCGCTCGCGGGCGACCATGCGCGTCTTGTGCGCCACCACGTCCTCCAGAACCCTCACCATGTCCTCCCCACCCTCCGCTCGCTTCCCCCCTGCTGCTGTCGACGCCTCGTTTGAGCCACTCTCAGGTTCGTCACCGCTCTGCACTGCACTCGACCGCTGCAGAGCACGGGTCCACTCGTCCAGCTTCGCGTCGGCGGCGGCTCGCTCCGCCTCCGCGTCCCGCGCCCTGTCCATCCACGCCTCGCTCCGCCGCCGCTCCTCCGCCAGCCCAGCCACCGCCTCGTCCCGCTCGCCCGCCAGCCTCCGCCTCTCCGCGTCCACCGCGTCCAGCTCCGCGCGCAACCGGCTCGTCTCCAAGCCAGCCCACCCCTCCCGCCCTTCGCCGGACCCCTGCAGCCACGGGCTGCTCACTTCGCCATCGATCGCGAAACCCATGTTACTTTGTCGCTCGCCATCGTCATCGCCATGGCGATGGCCGTTCACGAACGGGCCTCGCACGCTATTGCTGGCGCCGCTCGCAAGACCGCCGGGGTCTTCTGCGGTGCGGGCCTGAGAGTGCTTGGAGGCTGGCTGGTGCGACGCCGCGTCAAGAACGTGCGAGTGCTTCGAAGTGACAGGGTGGCTGCCGAGACTCCCGATGTCGCGAATGCTGGCTCCGGGCGGGAGCTCCTGGCCCTGATCCATTTGCAGCAACCGCCCCAGTTTCGCTTCCATTTCGTCACGTTGCTGGTAACCCGATGTCATGTCTTGCACTGCAGGACCAGCGTGAACCGTTCCCGGGTCATCCCTGTCCGTCGCGTGTCGCCCACGTGGCGAGCCGTCGCTCAAGGAGCTCCAGAAATCGTCGCCTTCCTTGTCGCCCAAATACTCTGCGAAGCCTCCCAAACCGGATGCCGAATCTGCACCTGAGGCTGCACCCGCGCGAGCAGACGGCGGAGGTTCGGTGAAATCGAGATCGCGCTCGAGCTCCTCGAAGAAGTCGCCGGGATCGCTGGGCGCGTTGAATCCGTTGACCTCGCCATGTAACGGAGGAGACAACAGCGAGCTCGACGGCGACGTGTCGTCGTCGTCCTCGCGGCGAGACGCCATGGCTCACGCAGTCGTTAGCTTCGCGAAGCAATCAGCGAGTTGTGCGATGCAAGGAATCCATCATCGTAGACCGGCAAGCGCAATGCATCGAACCCTGTCAGATTCTCATGCGTGAAGCACCAGGAGTTCCTAGTTCTACTTTTCACATCATAACTCAAAACTAGCTGGCACTTCAACCAGCGAACTCTGTCAGTAGCAGATGAAGTCAAATCTGTGTGTTTGAAGTTGGAGTCTTGGGCTTTGCTTCTTCCTCCCACCCCAAAATCCTCCTCGAAATTGCATTCCGTCAAAATTCGGCCGCCAGTTTGACGGAATCTGGTCTCGATTGTCGCATGCTCGAGAGCCGAGGGTCGCACGTCCGTTCGATGCCTTGGGCTTCTCATGCATCGACGCTACGAATGGGTGAGACGCAGTCGTTCTTTCCTCCTCGGTGTGCTTCGGTACCACGATAAGCAACAGTACAGTACTTTCCAACATGTGCTGACATGACAAGAATGGCTTGAAATTTGTTAAGCAACCCTAGACCCTTCCTCGATATCCCTCCCTTCTGTATGCCAACATTCCTCATTCATTCTCAATTTCCCAAAGACTACCATACCATACTACCAGTAAGTTTCTTTCTTACTTCCACCCTGATTCCAACAAAGGGTGCTTCAAAAGGAAATTCGGGCCCCACCTCACTCAGTACCCCGATCTCATATTTTGGGAGTTCATGATAACCAGACAAAGGGTTTCATCAAAGGATACTACCACAAATATGTCTCCCATTCAACCTATACTCCTGTGCCACACCAGCCCGCCGAACCTCCCTCTTTATCCAACCCACTGTAAGACACATCGACATGCCTGAGTGACCTGGCCCATCTGAGTGAATCCGGGAGAGACTTGAGTGCTGAACGGTCCTGTAGATGCAGCACTTCCAGGAGCGGCAGCAGGCCCATCTGAGGAGGCAGTGAGTGCAGGCGCTCGCAGCGGCGGAAGTCGGCCACACGGAGGGACAGCAGAGAGGGGAAGGAGGCGGGCAGGTGAGTGAAGGATTCACAGCCGTTGATTGTCAGCCAGGCTAGTCGGGGCAGGGAGCCGAAACCATGAGGGAGGTTGGAAAGGTTAGGGCACTGTGTGATGGTGAGACGGACGAGGGAGACGGGCGAGGAGAACGAGTCGGGAAGGCTCTGCAAGTGAGAGCAGGAGTGGATGGAGAGGCGTTGGAGGGCGCCTAGGGAGCCGAAATCAGCGGGCAGGGTGACAAGGCAGCCACTGCCGGTTATGGTGAGTGTGTGCAGGCGAGAGAGGAGACAAAAGGAGGGAGGCAGGCTGGCAAGAACTGGGGAGGTCAAGGATGCTTCTTGCAGGGAAGACAGGCCGCTGAGAGTGTTTGGCAGAGAGGAAAACACCCCCTCAATAGTCACCTTCGTTAGTGCCCCAAGGGAGCCAAACTCTTGAGGCAGATGCTCCAACTGATTACACTGTGCGAGCAGCTCTTCTGGACTAGTCATCCTGGTCATCCTTTCCAGAAATGATAGAACCCTCTTCTCTGGGACACGCCCCTTCAGCTCCAGCCACTCCAGTGCCACCAGCTCGCTGATGTTGTCTGGAACAAAGGTCCCAGTGTGTGGAAAGTAGGCGCTATCCTTGATGCATAATTTCCGAAGTGAAAGCAGGCGGGCGAGGTGAGGAGGGGGAGAGGGGATGAAGACATCTGTGAGGTGGACCTCGGTGAGGGAGGTGAGGTGGGAGATGAACGCGGGCAGAGCGAGGCGCTTGCATTCCAAGCTGCTGCAGCTGCCGTCGCCATCGCCGCCGCTGCTGCCGCTGCTAAAGGTGGAGCGAAAATTGTACTCCAGAGATAACGACTGGAGCGATGGGGCGAGGAGAGAGACAGAGTCTGGAAGGCGGAGAAAGCAGGCAGAGAGGGAGAGAGAGCGGAGGTTGGTGAGGAGGCGAAAGGCGGAAAGCACGAGAGTGCAGGGCTTGAGAGCGGAGATGGCAAGGTGCGTGAGTGAGCAGAGGGACCAGACGCGGGCGGATAGGTAGCTACCGTGCGAGCTATCATCGCCTAAGCGCAACTCCAGGTGCTGCAACGAGGGGCCGAGAGGCGAGCTCTTCCCCGCTTGAGCGGCAGCGGTAGCAGTGGCGGCGGCGACGGCAGCAGCAGCAGTGGCAAAAGCAGCACCCGCAGTGGCGGCAGCAGCAGCAAGAGCAGCGACAGCAGGAGGGGCGGCAACTGCAGCAGTGGCGGCGGCCGAGGCAGCAGCAGCAGCGGCGGTTTCTGAAGTGAGGGATAGAGGCAGATAGCCCAGCAGTGATCCTTCGCCTTGGTCGCATTGTTCCACCCACTTCACCCTGTCCACACTCACGTGCGACAGCGACGGCAAGGCGAACAAGCCCACAGGAAAGTCTACATTCACGTTGCCACGGGACCTTGAACCCAAGACCTTGAGGCATTGGAGGGAGGTGAGTCGGCTGAGTGGGTGGAACGGCACAGTGGACCAAACACCCTCAACAGTCAAGTGTCGCAGCGGTAAATCGCAGGGGATGTGGTGGATGGGGAGAGGCTCGAGGTGGTCGCAGGAGCAGAGGGTGAGGCGAGTGAGGGTCTCCAGCCATGTGGGCGGGAGAGAGCGCATGCTGCACTTGTCCAGCGAAACCTCTTCCAGCTTCGCCCACGCGTCTGGCAGCTCGCCCTCGAAGTGTTGCAGCTCCAGGCGCCGCAGCTGCTGCAGATTTCCGTTAATGCGGAGGGAGGAGAGCAACGAGAGGTCGCCTAGAGAATCGGGCGGGCGGTACGAGCTCCTGCACCCCCTCCTCATGGACAGGTGCCTCAAAGCTTTCAGCTGCCCCAAGTTCTCGGGCAGCTCCTGCAGCATGGGGCAGGTGAGATGCAGCTCCTGAAGTGCGCGCAGATGGCACAGTCCGTCCGGGAGCTGTTGCAACGTGTTGGAGCGCAGGCGAAGCACGCGCAGCGAGGACAGCGACGAGATGGAATCAGGAAGTCTCGTGACGACGGGAGGAAGCAGCAGCGCGAGCTCCTGTAACTGCGGCGCTGCGGCGCGGAAGAATGAGTCGAGCGGTGCGAGGCCGATCGTGAAGGGCGGCGGTGCGGCGGTAAAACAAGGCTCGCCGAGGCTCACGCAGGTGAGCTTGGGACAAGCGGCGAGCAGCGAGGTAAGGAAGTGGTGGTCGTAGAGATCGAGGGCGTCATCGCCCAGCGTGAGTGAAGTCACGCTTGGCGCGCGGGACAAGGCGCGGAAGAGCGCGGGCGCGGAGAGCGTGGAGGCGGGAAGCAGCGAGTCGTATTGATCGGCAGAGTCCTCCCGACGAGATGGCGAGTCTGCAGCAGCGGTGATGCGCACGACGGGCAGCAGCGAGGCCCATCGCTTCGACACCATCCCCATGCCATGGCACGGGCTGACATCGGAATCCACGCTGGGCACCGTGTCACTCGCGGCAGCGTCGAGTTGAGAGTCGATGTGGGGGGTTGCTGCGAGAAAGAGAATTCTGGAAAGAATTTCGTCAGGCAGACCGTTCATTGACGCTACAGTCAATATGTAGTGCTCAGTAAGAGAATGTGACTGATCACTGATTGCTCCAGATCAGCCCAATACAAAGTGGCAATTTGTTACGGGTGCAATGAATCTAGGTAGCGAGGATTGCACCAAGTGTCAAACGAGTACAAAATGTGAGCGAAGGCATGAGTGAACATTTATACGGGAAACATGCAAACGGTAACGCGGTGCGTGCGAGCTAGCTAGTGCTAAGCTGGCAGCGAGGCTCAGGCTAGTCCCGAGGCGTAGGCCGACACGGCTGGGCCAGCGGTGCATGGTTTGGTGAAACAGTGCGCGGGAAGTTGTCGAAGCCCCGTTAGCAGTAACGGGCGAACAACGGCTGCTGCGGTACGCGATGTTGTAGGATACGCTGAGGAATGTCGAGAAAATTTCTTACACTACCCCCCCCCCCCCCCCCCCCCCCCCCCCCCCTCAAGAAGCCCCCTCCCCTACGCGAGTGCGCGTATATCGCGGAAACCCCGGCTCCTCAGGTACACTTGCAGGGCAGGGTGGTCTTCGATGTTGGCCAGGGGCACCCAGCTATCCTCAGTTGGCGTGCGGTCCTTCCAGCGAACGAGGAACTCAATCCCCTTGATTCCCGTAGGGTGTCGAATCCGATGGCTCATGATTTTTTCGGGCTCGATGATCGGCTCCGATGTAGGGCGAGTTGTGGATGGCGGACGGTGACGAGGCAGTTGGCTCGTGGTTGAAAAGTATGGGCGAGGCAGGCTGACGTGGAATGGTGGGCTGATGTACTAGTCTGTCGGCAAAAGTAAGTGGGATGTCACGGGGGTGATCATGCGGCTGATTTGGAATGGTCCACAGTAGCGCGGTCGTAATTTCGGTACGACGGGCAGTCTTAAATTCTGCGTGTCGAGCAGTATGTAATCTTCTGACTGGTATGCGACTGGGCGGCGGTGGCGGTCGGCGTTGCGCTTAGCGATGACATTTGCTTTTTTAATTGCTTCGGCGGCTCTGGTGCGGGCAGCTTGCAGAATCTCGGCGAATTGTTGTGCGCGTAGTGTTAGGTTGTCCGGAATCGGCGTCATGGGCAATGTAGGGTTTTGCCCGTAGTTCAGGTAGAACGGGGACTGCTACGTCATCGCTGACGTGACGTTGTTGTACGCGAAATCGATCAGCAGCAGCTGCTGCTCCCAAGTTGTCGGGTCGTCGCACGTGGCACGAATCAACTGCTCCATCGTCTGATTCGTCCGCTCCGTTTGACCGTCGGTCTTGGGGTGGTACAACGAGCTGAACTGTAGCCTGGTCCCGAACTGCTCCCGAAGGTTCTTCCAGAAGTTGCTGGTGAGCTTCGTGTCGCGGTCCCTAATTATCGCGGCTGGTATCCCGTGAAGTCGAACGACGGCTGCGATGAACAGGCGAGAGGTTTCTTCGGCTGAGACCGATTTCTTGCACGCAGCGAAGTGAGCCATCTTCGTCAACCTGTCAACAACGACCATAACTGCGTCGTTACCCCCAGGTTTCGAAGGTAACTCCGTGGCAAAATCCATAGTAACCTGCTGCCAGGCGCGCTCAGGCGGTGGAATCGGCTGCAATTGACCTGCCTTCTTTCGCGAGCTCTCCATCACCTGACACGTAGGACACGAGCCCACGTGGTGCTGTACGTCGGTCAATAGCTCCGGCCAGTAGTAATACCGCTGTAGTTGCTATCGCGTTTTTCCTACCCCAAAATGTCCCAAGGTAATCCCGTCGTGTACCTCCTGCAGAAACAGTTCCCTCAGTAGTGATTACGCGGGTACCCAGATGTGGTTGGTGCCTGTTTTACGTAATAGACTCCTTTAGCTTCTGCCAGTTGCTGTGAATTTCCGGTCGCGAAAAGTGGGTCGGTACTGTATCCGTGGGTGAATAGGCCTGCTAGCAGTGGGTTGGTTTGGGCGAGTAGGATGGCGTGGAGTTGGGCGGTGGGGCGTGTGAGTGCGTTGGCGATGTTGGATGCACCTTTTTTGTACGTAACCGTGTAGTGGAAGCTGGAATCTAGATGGTGTCAGCACATTATAGCTTACTTATTTGTGTAGGCTATAGTGGGGTATCCCATAGGGGGTACAACCCAATTAGGGTTTCATATTTGTACTCACTTCATTCATAGTTCATTCATTCTCGTTCAGTTCTCAACATGGTATAGAGCAGGTTCCCCTGTGGGAACTGTGCCTAGGGCCCACCACTCGAAATCTTTTTTTTTCTGCCCGAAGCGCACTCATCCCGAGTCGCGCCTCGGGCCACTCCTTCCCCGAGCCGCCCTAGCGGCCGGCCTTACCCTCGCGGCCCCGCCACCCAGTGAACGCGGCCCCGCCGCCTCTTCTCTCGCGGCCCCGCCGCCCAAGCGCTCGCGGCCCCCGCCGTCCCTGATCTCGCGGCCCCGCCGCCCGAGCGCTCCCGGCCCCGCCGCCCCTGATACGCGGCCCCGCCGCCCTAGCACTCGCGGTCCCCGCCGTCCCTGATCTCGCGGCCCCGCCGCCCCTGATACGCGGCCCCGCCGCCCCAGCGCCCGCGGCCCCGCCGTCCCTGATCTCACGGCCCCGCCGCCCCAGCGCTCACGGCCCCGCCGCCCCTGATCTCGCGGCCCCGCCGCCCCAGCGCTCCCGGCCCCGCCGCCCCTGTTACGCGGCCCCGCCGCCCCAGCGCTCCTGGCCCCGCCGCCCCTGATCTCACGGCCCCGCCGCCCCAGCGCCCGCGGCCCCGCCGTCCCTGATCTCACGGCCCCGCCGCCCCAGCGCTCACGGCCCTGCCGCCCCTGATCTCGCGGCCCCGCCGCCCCAGCACTCCCGGCCCCGCCGCCCCTGTTACGCGGCCCCGCCGCCCCTGGTCTCGCGGCCCCGCCGCCCCAGCACTAACGCCCCCGCCGCCCCTTGCTCTCGCGCCGCCCGACTGCAGCAGCCGAGCCGCCCGGAGCAGCCGAGCCGCCCAGGAGCCGCCGAGCCGCCCAGCAGCAGCCGAGCCGCCCAGCAGCAGCCGAGCCGCCCAGGAGCCGCCGAGCCGCCCAGCAGCAGCCGCGCCGCCAGCAGCCGCCGAGCCGCCCAGCAGCAGCCGAGCCGCCCAGCAGCAGCCGAGCCGCCCGGGAGCCGAGCCGCCTAGCAGCCTAGCGGCCGTTTCGCCAGGCGACCTACCTCCCGAGCCGCCCGACCTGCCCTGCCCGTTGAGCACTGCACTGCTGTCACTGCGTACCCTTCCCCTACTGCTTGCACTGTTCCACTGTCGTCGTCATGACTACACCCAGTGTCCTCGCTTTTGACGCTGAGGGTCGAGCCATTGACTTTGAGGTCTGGCTCGACGACCTGCAGCTGTTTTTACAGTGCGACAGGGCCGACGGTCTGTCTCTCTTTGACCTCACCTCTGGCGCCGTCCCTGCCCCTGCTGCTGATGCTGACGCCACTGTTCGCTCTCAATGGGCCACGCGCGATGGTGCTGCACGTCTTGCTGTGCGTCGCCACCTGCCTACCACTGAGCGCGCGCACTTTAGCCAGTACAAGAGTGCTCAGACCTTGTACGACGCTGTAGTTGCACGCTACTCCTCCCCTGCCAATGCTGCACTGAGCCGCCTCATGCTCCCCTTCCTCTTCCCTGACCTTGCCGCCTTTCCCACTGTCGCTGATCTCATCACGCACCTCCGCACTAGTGACACTCGCTACCGCGCTGTGCTTCCTGCTGACTTCTGCGCCAAGAACCCCCCCCCCCATGTACATCACTCTCTACTTCTTAGTCACTCGCCTCCCTGACTCCCTTCGTGTAGTCCGGGACCACTTCCTCGCGGTCTGTCCCACCACCCTCACAGTCGACAGCCTCGAGAAGGCCCTCCTTGCAGCAGAGAAGAGCATAGTTGCTGTAGGAGCCTCTCGAGGTGACCCCCGCGCCCCCATCTTTGAGGGGTGTTCTCCTTCCCCTCTCCTGCCCTCTGTCGCCTCTGCCGCTGCGGCCGACCTCGTTGGTCTTGAGTCGGTCGGTGCGGCGTCTGCCCCTAGCGGGAGACGCCGCTCTGGCAAGGGCAAGGGGGGCAAGGGAGCGGGTGGGGCCAGCGGGGGCGGTGGCGGTGGAGGTGGAGGCGGCGGAGGGAGTGGGGGTGGCGAAGGAGGTGGTAGCGGGGGTGGGGGTGCTAGTGGCAGCAGTGGAGGCGGGAGTGGCGGCGGCGGTGGCGGTGGTAGCGGAGGTGGCGGAGGTGGCGGCGGTGGAGGTGGAGGCGGGGGCGGTGGAGGCGGAGGCGGGGGTGGCGGAGGTGGAGGTGGTCGGAGTGGAGCTTCGCAGCGGAGCGCCACTGGTGGCGGTCAGCGCCAGCAGCAGCAGCAGCAGCGTTCTCGCGACGTCCCCACCCCTCAGCAGCTCCGTGAGTGGTACACGCAGCGTCAGCGCGGTGGGGGTTTTGGTCCCTGCACCTACGTTCTCCGCAATGGCGACCGCACTGGAGTGCAGTGTGGGGGTGCCCGCTCCGCCCAGCGCTGCTTTGGCCGCCTGACGGACGCTTGGCGTCAGCAGTTCCCGGAGGCCGCGGAGATCCCCCGCTGGGGAGAGCTGTCTAGGGCCGGTGTAGCTATCTTTGATCTTGATTTTGATGCTATTCTTGCTGCCATGTATGCTGTGACCATTAGTGAGGAGGGTGACTGTTACCGGTGTTTCCCGCCCGACCCGGGCATTGGTACTGCTGCTCCAGGTGCCGGTGAGGCTTCTGCTCTAGGTGCCAGTGCGTCTGTGCTCCCAGGTTCTAGTGCGTCTGCGCTCTCCGGTACTGCGTCGGCTTCGGCCTCCCTCACCTTCACTCTTGACTCTGGAGCGTCTCGCTCTTTCTTTCGGGACTGCACCACACTTACGCCGCTAAGTCGGCCGGTTGCGGTTTCCCTGGCTGACCCCTCTGGGGGTCCTGTCCTGGCTCGCTTCTCCACGGTCCTCCCATGTCCGGCGGCTCCCTCTGGCACCCTGTCTGGTCTCTACCTCCCCTCGTTCTCTACGAACTTGGTGAGTGGTGCTGACCTACAGGATGTGGGAGTCCACCAATTCACCCCTGCTAGTCAGCGAGTGACGCACTGCACGGAGGCTAGCACGGGTCGTCACCTGGCTACGTTTACACGTCAGCCAGGGTCGAGCCTGTACACACTGACCACTGCTTCTCCTACAGGTGCTGAGTCTGGTAGAGTCCCTTCGTCTGGTCAGGTGTTTGCTGCAGCGTCCAGGTCTGGTCCTGAGTCTGCCCCCTGTTCGTGTCGCCGTCTGTCTCACGAGACCCTCCTCAGGCACCACCGTCTTGGCCACCCCTCTCTGCTTCGGCTCAGAGGCATGGCCTCCCGTCTTCTTGTGTCTGGTCTCCCCCGGTCTCTACCTCCCCTTCCTCAAGGCCCTGGCCCTGCCTGTGTCCCCTGTGTCGAGGGGCGCCAGCGTGCTGCCCCCCACTCCTCCGAGTTTCCTCCGACAGAGGCTCTGTTGCAGACGCTTCATATGGACGTGTGGGGCCCTGCCCGCGTCCGTGGACTCGGTCACGAGCGCTACTTCCTGCTGGTGGTTGACGACTACTCGCGTTACACCACGATCTTCCCCTTGCGCAGCAAGGGTGATGTCACTGAGGTGCTGATCGACTGGATCCGCGCTGCTCGTCTCCAGCTCAGGCAGAGCTTTGGCTCGGACTTTCCTGTGTTGCGTCTGCACTCGGACAGAGGTGGAGAGTTCTCCTCTGGCCTTCTGCGTGCCTACTGTCGTGCGCGAGGCATCCGCCAGACCTTCACGCTTTCGGACTCCCCGCAGCAAAATGGGATTGCAGAGCGCCGCATTGGCATGGTCATGGACGTCGCTCGTACGTCCATGATGCATGCGGCTGCCCCCCATTTTCTGTGGCCGTTTGCGGTCAGGTACGCAGCGCATCAGATCAACCTCCACCCCAGGGTAACCAGGCCGGAGACCTCCCCAGCGCTGTGGACGGGGAAGGTTGGCGATGCGTCGGCGTTCCGGGTCTGGGGATCTCGGGCGTTTGTCCGCGACTTGTCTGCGGACAAGCTGTCCCCTCGCGCTGCTCCCTGCGTCTTCCTGGGGTTCCCCCCCGACGCCCCTGGGTGGCAGTTCTACCACCCCACCTCTCGACGTGTTCTGTCCTCCCAGGACGTCACGTTCAACGAGTCGGTACCCTACTACCGCCTCTTCCCCTACCGCACTCCGTCCCTCCCCCCGCCCCTGCTCTTCTTGGTACCAGGTCCCCCCCCGGTAGACCCCCTCCCCCCTCAGGGTCCTGCCCCTTCAGGTGTGTCCCAGGTAGACGCGGTCGAGCCTGTCGAGGTCACTGGTGACTCTGGTGCTGCTGCGGGAGCTGAGCCTGGGGGTGCTGAGACTGGAGGTACTACGCCTGCGGGTGCTGAGCCTGGGGGTGCGGAGTCTGGAGGTGCTGAGCCTGGGGTTGCTGAGCCTGGGGGTGCTGAGCCTAGGGGTACTGAGTCTGGGGGTGCTGAACCTGGGGGTGCTGTGCCTGGGGGTGCTTAGCCTGGGGGTACTGAGTCTGGGGGTGCTGAGCCTGGGGGTGCTGTGCCTGGGGGTACTGAGCCTGGGGGTGCTGCGCCTGGGGGTACTGAGCCTGGGGGTGCTGAGCCTGGGGGTGCTGAGACTGGGGGTGCTCCGCCTGGAGGAGCTTCGTCTCGCCGAGAGCCACTCTCCCCTCAAGAGCTACGTGAGTGGTTTGCCAGGCGCTGGAGGCGTGCTGCTGGTTCTGGAGGTTCTTCGGCTGCAGAGGGTACTGCTGCCGAGCGTCCCGGCGGTGCTCGTACTGTGGGTGCTGGAGCTGCAGGGTCTGAGGGTTCTCCTCGAGCTGGTGCTGCTGAGGGTGTTGACGCTGAGATTGCCGCTGGAGGTCCGACTGGTGGTGCTCCTGGTGGTACTGCTGGAGGTTCTGGAGCTACTGGAGGTGCTGCTGGAGCGGGTACTCCTACTGGGGGTACTGGTGCTGTCCCTGCTGTTTCTGGCGTCGCCGCGCGGCCCCGGCCGTACTTCGTTCCGCTCCTGCAGCAGGTTCTTGGTCTTACACCTTCTCCTGGTCCTCCTCCTCCTCCCTTAGAGGGTCCACAGCCTGTCTCGTCATAGTCACAGCTACAGCCTGCCTCACCTTTGCCTGCTCCTTCTCCCTACGCTGGTCCGACTGGAGGTCTTACTGAGCGTCGTGAGCCTGCGTCTCGTCCTGCGTCGCCTGTTCGTACTGCGCGCACTAGTGGTCGTGGTTCGCGTCAGCGTCCTCCTCCTGTCCCTGGCACGCACCGGATGTCTCTACGTCTGTCTACTGCTCCTCTGCGTGCCCCTTTGCCTTCTCCTCCTGCTTCCTCTCTTCCTGCTCTTACCGACCCGGAGTCGGACTCTCTTCGTGCTGCCAGACCTACTGTCACGCGTCTTCTTGCTACTGTCGTCACTGACCCTTCTTTCGAGTCTTCTGCTGCGTCTGCCCTTGTCACTGAGCTCATCGACTTTGCTGCGCGCTGTCGCCTAGACTACGCTGCTAGTCTTGTCGCTGAGTCTGAGTCTGCCTGTCCTCCGTTCGTCGGGGGTGAGTGTGCCCTTGGCACGGACGTCCTTGAGGACAGGCAGGAGGAGTTCCAGTGTTTGGCCGCCGCTTCACCTCATCTCGCGTCTGTACTGCTAGCCCCTGAGGGAGACCCAGATGCACTTGACATCCCGACTCCGCGCTCTTACGCGGAGGCGATAGAGGGTCCCTACTCGTCTCACTGGCAGGCAGCTATGGCCGCAGAGATGGCTTCCTAGAAGTCTACAGGCACCTACTTTGACGAGGTTCCCCCACCTAGGGCGAACATCGTCAGTGGCATGTGGATTTTCAGGGTGAAGCGGCCGCCGGGTTCCCCGCCTGTCTTCAAGGCGCGGTACGTGGCTTGTGGCTTTAGTCAGCGGCAAGGAGTTGACTACTTTCAGACCTTCTCTCCCACCGCGAAGATGACCACTCTTCGGGTGCTGCTGCACATAGCCGCTCAGTGCGACTACGAGCTTCACTCTCTCGACTTCAGCACAGCTTTCTTGCAGGGCAGCCTGCACGAGGAGTTCTGGCTGCGCCGCCCACTTGGCTTCACTGGGACTTTTCCTCCTGGCACCCAGTGGAGCCTCCGGCGGCCAGTCTACGGTCTCTGCCAGGCACTGCGTGAGTGGCACGACACACTGAGGACTACGCTTGCGGCTCTTGGGTTTGCTCCCTCTACTGCTGACGCTTCGTTGTTTCTGCGCACCGACACTTCTTTGCCGCCGTTCTACATCCTCGTGTACGTCGACGACTTGGTCTTTGCCACAGCTGACACTGTTGGACTCGCCCACGTGAAGTCTGAGCTGCAGAAGAGACACACGTGCATAGACCTGGGTGAACTGCGCAGCTACCTTGGCTTGCAGATCACCCGGGACAGAGCACAGCGCACCATTACCCTGACTCAGTCACACATGGTGCAGCAGGTCCTTCAGCGCTTCGGCTTCATGTACTCCTCGCCTCACGCCACTCCTCTGCCTACTCGCCACTCGCTCTCAGCTCTGCCTTTGGATGAGTCCGTAGAGTCGAGTGGCCCGTATGCAGAGCTTGTTGGCTGCCTCATGTACCTGATGACCTGCACACGACCTGACCTTGCATACCCTCTCAGCATTCTCGCACGCTATGTTGCTCCTGGGAGACACCGATTAGAGCACATGGCTGCAGCGAAGAGGGTGTTGCGCTACTTGTGCAGTACATCGGGCATGGGGCTAGTGCTTGGAGGGCGCAGTCCAGTGGTCCTCACTGGGCACGCGGACGCTTCTTGGGCTGACGACCAGGCTACGCAGCGGTCGTCACAGGGTTACACCTTCGGCCTTGGTTCCGGCTCTGTCTCGTGGTGGGCTACTCGCTCGTCTTATGTTCTCGGCTCCAGTTGTGAGGCTGAGATCTACGCCGGGGCTATGGCTGCTCAGGAGCTTCGCTGGCTCACCTACCTGCTGACCGACCTTGGAGAGCCGCCTCGTTCTCCTCCAGTCCTGTACGTAGACAACAAGGCCATGCTGGCCTTGTGTCGAGAGCAGCGACTGGAGCACAGGACAAAGCACATTGCTGTCCGCTACTTTCTTGCTCGTGAGCTGCAGCAGCGTGGACAGTTGCGACTTGCGTACGTGCCCTCTGAGGCCAACACTGCTGATGTCTTCACCAAGGCACTTGCGCCTTGTGATCATCAGCGTTGCTGCACGCAGCTGGGTCTTGTGCCTGTCTTGCCTCACTTGCTCACTTCTTGACCTTGCTTGTACCTTGACCTATATATACTCTTGTTCTTGCTTGCTTGACTCTTGTATATCTCTATATATGATCTTGCATGCGAACTGGCCTTGTGGCCCTTGACCTTGTGCTCGGAATGTGTGGTGACTTTGTGATCCACCGTGAGCTTTGCTTTGCTTTGCTTGACTGGTCTTGTGACCCCTTGTTCTCCCCCACTTTGCCTATGGGGGTGTGTCAGAACATTATAGCTTACTTATTTGTGTAGGCTATAGTGGGGTATCCCATAAGGGGTACAACCCTATTAGGGTTTCATATTTGTACTCACTTCATTCATAGTTCATTCATTCTCGTTCAGTTCTCAACAGATAGTCCAACCAGCGGATCTGTCGCGTATTGAGATTTGGTTGAGCGCGAAATTACTGTAGTGATCGGTGGTCTGTCCGTACTATCACGTCTGCTCCCGTGAGGTAACATCGCCACAC